ACTACTACTACTACTACTACTACTACTACTACTCCTACGGAAAGCCATAGCAGGGAGGGGTACCTCTTGCGGCAGACGGGTGGTGGCCCTTCGACGGACGCTCCGATGAAATGGTGTGGGGTTACGTCGTGGCTGGGCGGCTCGGAGCATACCCGACTAGAGTGCCTACTTGCCGTGAGCGGGCCTCTTCGCTGGCCTGTGATGCATTGCCTTAGTTCCCGCCCTGGTGTCCCTACCCAAACTCCCTCCTCCTCCTCCTCCTCCTCCCTCCTCCTCCTCCTCCTCACCCTCCCTCCTCCCTCCTTACTCCTCCCTCCTCCTCTCCTCCTTCCTCCCTCCTCCTCCCTCCTCTTCCCTCCTCTTCTTCCCTCCTTCCTCCTCCATCGTCAGAGCCCCTCGAAATGCCCCAGGGGCCAGAGCCCGCGCCATCTCGGGAAACTCCACGTCGTAGCAGATCAGCACCCCGACCCGGACCCGGCAGGGCGAAGGCGGCCCGGGGAAGTCCAGCTCGACAACCTCTCCGTCTCTCGGCGCCGGTCGGATGAGGCACGAGATGACGCCGTCGGCACGACGTCGACGTGAAAGACGCCGAGGACGACGACGATGACGGCGTGGCGCCGTGGACGACGTCGGCCTGTCATCGTCGGCGTCGGCAGCGTCGACAGCGGCATCGGCAACGGCTTCGTCGATCTCGGCGTTGGTCGGATGAGGTTTTGCACTCCACTCCGTCCCTTCGCTTCACGCTGCTGCTGTTTCCACTGCGCCGTCCAGGACCTTCAATATTCAGCTTTCCTTGCCAGAGTTTCGGATTTACCACGTCTGAGCTCCTTCATGGCCCCCCGATGGGGACCTGCTGCAGCTTCTTGACGCCGGCATGGGATATCCTCCCTCCGCACACCCTTTCTTTCGGGGGCGTACTAGCCCAGGTCAATGCAAACCTGGGTCAGTCGGGCTTTGCAGGATCCTGCAAAATCCTGCAGGGCACTGCAGCATCCTGCGCGCTAGCCTGGGTCAAAGCGCCCCTGGCTTTGCAGGATCCTGCAAGATCCGGCGCTCTGGCTGACCCCTTTTTACAAGGACCCCCATCTCGAGGCTCCCGATTCTTTACATGTCTCTATCTGCTGTTGCTCCTCCTCCTGGAGCCGGTAGTGGGCGGGTATACTGCTTCCGGGATTCCCGAGATCGCTGCAACACCTCGAGCCGCCGAGGAGCAACTGTGACGTGGTGCATGGGTTCACTGCGTCGCGCAATAGGCTACGATCCTGACTTCCTCTACGATACTTTGCTTTTCCAGTGCAGCTACCAAGCTCCCTGCCCGCATGTGATCGCACACCCATCCTGGCCCCGAAAAATATCTCGCGTGACCGTTTTGATGTCCCATCCCCTAAACTAGAAAGAACAAAAGGGCGGACCAACACGGAATAGCTCACTCCCAACGGCTCGAGCGAAGACACAATCAAATGGGCGACGACGACCTCTGCTCGCATGTTGCCGCGACTGAAAACAAATCATGATGTTTTCTTAATGCGGAGATCGATGCACCTCTCCAACGGCGGAAAACACGACCCGAAAGACAGACTGCCGTGCTCTCTGTTCTGGCCCTGGTTTAGGATCAACTGCAGAGCAAGAAAGCGAATTGGCTCAATGGGAACGCCATCAAACAATCGATAGGACGTAGCACAAATCAAGAGACACAATGAGAATATCACAAGATGAACGTAAACATGCGATCATAATGCAATCGACGCACCACCGCAACAATATCACACATCAATCGAGACAGCATCGAGACACCATCGAACTCCCACAAGCCCTCTGGGCGTAGGTCTCGGTTTCCACAACGACCTCTTCTGCCTGTTTGGGATGTGGAAATCCATACCCCCTCCCTGGGGGTCTAGACCAAGGTGTCGTCAGAACCTTCAAGATGGCTCCAAGATGGCCCGTAGCCCAAGATAGCCTCACTGATGTCGCAACATGGCCCAGGCAGGCCTGTCTGCCCTCCAACATGAATCCAAGAGGACCAGAAAGCCCCCACATGGCTTAGGCCACCGCCGCGCGCATCCAAATCAAATACCCCCTAGGCTACGACATCGAGCAACATGAAAATGCTTCAACCTTTCCGGATGATGACCGCCGTTCCGACTTATGGAAGGCATCTGAGACCTCGGGATGGTCCTGAATTTGCCCGAAAGGGCCGTAATATGGGCACAAGAGTTTCCCAGAGGGGCCACAAGAGGCAATGTTTCTGAGTTCAAAGGGTGACGCGAACTAGAACCCTCTCCTTCTTTTGTCCACTACCTTGAACACGGCCTCAAGGGGGCCCGAAAAGCCACGAACAAAAGACCCCGAGAGAGTGCCAACATACCCACCGAAATGCCCCAACATGGCTTGAACAATCATCAAATCAACTCTCAAATAACTACTTCCAGACGAAATTGCTGGTGCTTATGTAGATCCGCTGTGTCGTTTGAGTGGTGTTCCTCCCCTTCTTTCGCTAATGCGTTTTCCACTTTCCTTCTTGCATCAACTTTCCAAATCATCGTTCGTGGATGGGCTGGTGGGGAAACGCGACGCGTCAATCATTCAATTGGGACGTCCTCAACGCTCCGTCGCACACCAATCAGGACGTCATCGTGACAACGGTCAGTCACAAGGACACAATCAAACCACGATCGAACCACCATGCACATCGAACTGCAACACCATCGGGCCACCACGACCAGACACCCCGCCTCGCCGTCTGATTGGATGAGCGAGGGCGATATCGGGAGCACAACCAAAACTTGGCGGGTGTCCCTCGGCACTGGCACACAGCTTCGAGCGCACGGCACGCACGGCACGACATCCAGCGGCGCCGTAGGACACTAGGCGTCGGATAGCAACAGCTGGGTCGCAGGCAGGCAAGGCATGTTACACGAAACTCGCATTTCCCCTCGGAGGCAGCCCAACAGCGGCTTGCATATCCCCTCTCACTATGATGTCAGCAATGCGCGCGAAGGTGGCAGTGTGTACTTACAATGCTGGCAACACTTCTAGGGCAGACATGACGAACACAGGCACATCTATGTTAAGCGTGGACCCCAAACAGTCATGTCTTGCAATCTATGCGGTGCGGCCAGGGTGGTGCAGCCAATGTAGTGCAGTCTATGTGGTACGATCTATGTGGAGCAATTGACTACCCTGCACCGCGCTTGACCACTCCACTGCTCGCGCAAACATCCCACCCACCCACCCGCAACTTGGTTCGCAAAATCTCTTAAGACCGTGACGGTGGGTACCAAATGGCACTTGCCAACGACAGCAACGCCGACGACGACAGCGACAACGACGACGACGACGCCGCCGACAACGACTACGACGACACCGACGACGTCTCCTACGACTTTCGAACGACGCCGACAACGACGACGACGAGCGACAACGACGGCGACGACGACGCCGACGCCGACGACGACGACGATGACAACGACACGACGATGACGACACGACGACAACGACGACGCGACGACGACGAACGACGGTTCAACGACGCCGACGACGACGACGACGACGCGGCGACGACGACGACCCGACAACGAACGACGAAGACGACGACGACGCCGACGAACTCCGTCCTCCGCCTGGGCTCGAATGACGACTGACGAGAAGGAGGGAGACTGACGACGGCGACAACGGCGACAACGACGACGACGACGAGAGAGGAGGGAGGACGGCGACGACGCGAACGACGAAGAAGGAGGAAGGACGGCGACGCCGACGACGGCAACGACGAGGGAGGAGGGAAGACGACGACGACAACGACGACGACGACGACGGCAACGAAATAGGAGGGACGACGACGAGACGCTGACGACGGACGACGACGACGACGAGGGAGGAGGAGGAAAGACGACCACGGCGACAACGACGACGGAAACGACCACGACGCCAAAGAGGAGGACGACGACGAACACGAGGAAAGACAGGACGACGTAGGCGATGACGACGACGACAACGACGCGGGAGGAGGGAGGACGGCGACGACGACGACGACGACGACGCAAGAGCGCGCGCGCACGCTTTTGTTGAAAACCCGTGTTGCGAAACATTGTTTTTTATATGTTTTTTGGACGCGCGATTTCGAAATCCTTCCGAAACCGATGGGTTTTGAAGGATTTCGGCGTACGCGCGCGACCACGCGCGCGTCTGCACTTCGTCCCGTTTTTTGCAGAGGATTCTCGCGACGGCACACGCGCAAGGGCGTTCGACAGATTTCGACATGCGCGCGCGCGCGAAGCCCGTTTGGTAGCATGTTGTGAAAATCTTGAAAAACCTATGGTGTTCTTAAGATTTTGCAAGAGCTCGCGCGGAAGCATTTTTAGCAAATCCGTGTTGCGAAACCATGTGTGTTTGTATGTTTTTGTTGGGAACTCGATTGCGAAATCCTTCCGACACCGAAGGTTTTTGAAGGATGTCGGCATGCGCGCACGACGACGCGCGCGTGTGCAATTCGTATCGTTTTTTTTTTTTTTTTTTTTTTTTTTTTTTTTTTTTTTTTTTTTTTTTTTTTTTTTTGCAAGGGATTCGTGAACAAGTGGCATGTTATAACAACACATGTCACCGCATAGTGTTTTTTACAAGGGAACCTCCGGGGGGAAAAACTGGTCTGCCTGGGATGGTATGATTTCATATTTAAGATGGACGAGCGTGCAGAATATATGTGAAATTATACTATCCCAGGAGGACGCGTTAAGTCCTGGGGCGGGGGGGGGGGGGTCGAGTCTATATTCTTTTGAGAATCTATGCGGTGCAACGTGGCGCAAAGCAAACGCAACGCAGTGTCAAAGCAACGCAACGCAATGCAAACCTAGTCAAAGCAATGCTGCGCACGTGGCGGCGACGACGGGCGAACGCACGCTGACTGGGGCGGCAGTGGGGCCCAGCTACCTTAGAAGAGAAGTGAGCACCACTAAGTGCAAGCACAGCTGGGGAACGGTAGCAGACACATGTCTAGCGGACATGCAACATCGTTTAGACAAGACATGTAGCACGGGAGACGTGTAAACATGCGCCACCGTGCGGTAGGCAGTGAGTGGAGCGCCCTCGCGTCCCCAATCGTCTCGAATCGATAGTTCAGTCCTCGACATGGGGAATCATACGACTCGTAAGAGCCCGACCCCCAATCGTCAAACTTCACGCGTGCGGCCGCGCGCTCCTGGGGCTTGGCGCGTTACATTTCCCGAGGCCACCGTCGTTGCTTTGGTTCGGGTCTACCCTGCAAGATGCAAACCTCATTGAATAATACCGCGCTTCTGACAACAGACGTAGCATTCTCGCCTTTCGGGCTTCAGAGAGTCTAAGGCGCGCGCCTCAAAAGAGCCCCAACACGGCTCCAAGGCGGCCCCCGAGGCTCCGAAGAGCGGCCGAAGAGGCCCCAAAGATGGCCACCCAGGGGGGCCCGGAGAGGCCCCCAAGAGTTTCCCAGAGGCCCCACAAGAGGCACCAAAGAAGGCCTTATGAAAATCCCAAGTGGCACACATCCATAAATCCGCCGATCCGGCGCGTGAGCTTGAAAAATCTCCGCTACAGCCTACAGCCTAGATCCTGAGCTTCAGCTCTGCTGGGGGAGGGGGGGGGGGGGATGCGCGCGGAAATTCCGAGGCGTCGGTCGCCAGAAGCCCCCAATAGGCCCCAAGAGGCCCCCAAGAGGCCCCCAAGAGGGTCCCAAGAGGTCCAAAGAGGCCCCCAGGAGGCCCCTAGCAGGACACAAGAGGCCCCCAAGAGGCCCAAAAGAGGCTCCGAGGGCCCCCGCAACGGCCCCCAGGATGTGTCAAAATGCGCCCACGAGGCCCCCGAGAGACCTGCCACGAGATCCCCATCATCTCAAAGCTCTGCCATGCCACAACATGAAATGTTCCTGTTTGTGGGCGAGGGGCCTGGGCGAGCCGGAGGACCTGGCCTGGGGCGCGGTTGGCCGCCGAGCCGTCCACGAAGAAAACGAAACAGCGTGCTGTGAGAGTAGGCGAAGACGCGAACGGGCGGAGGGGAGGGGCGAGAGAACTGAGCCAGAAAGGTTGCGGATGATAAACCCTCGCGGCATTCTGACGCCAACGAGATGAAATGTGACGCGCGACCATCTCAAAGCTCTGCCATGCCACAACATGGAATTGTCCTGCGTGTGGGCGAGGGGCCTGGGCGAGCAGGAGGACTTGGCCTGGGGCGCGGTTGGCCACCGAGCCGTCCACGAAAAAAACGAAACAGCGTGCTGTGAGAGTAGGCGAAGACGCGAACGGGCGGGGGGGAGGGGCGAGAGAACTGAGCCAGAAAGGTTGCGGATGATAAACCCTCGCGGCATTCTGAAGCCAACGAGATGAAATGTGACGCGCGACCATCTCAAAGCTCTGCCATGCCACAACATGGAACTGTCCTGCGTGTGGGCGAGGGGCCTGGGCGAGCCGGAGGACCTGGCCTGGGGCGCGGTTGGCCACCGAGCCGTCCACGAAGAAAACGAAACAGCGTGCTGTGAGAGTACCCATTTCCCGAATGGCGGCGTGGCTTTGGGTGCCCACAGGAGGGCGCAAAAACGCACACGCAAGGCCGAGAAATATTACGCTATTCATTTACCAATGTTGACAATCTACTAAAGCCTAACCAACCTAATTGCTGCTGAATGATGCGGGTAAAAACTACAGAATTATTTGCCGTGGGGTTCGGCGCGCCGGGTCCACAAAATTCCAGAGGCCCGGTCGACACCAGAGAGGACAATGTGCTGTTTGCCCGAGTAGCTGCACACACCACCATGGCCTTGACAGAGGCAAGGAGGCGAGACGGGGTGGTGGCACGGGGCCCAGCACACGACACGGGCGCGTTTGCGCCACGGGGCCCCGAACGAGCACATGTCCA